AAGGAAGAGAGAGAGGGAGTGAGAGAGAGAGAGGGAGAGAGAGAGAGGCTTCTATGATGAATCTGGCCACGCCATATATTGCATTCTCCTCTGGGTTTTAAAACCTCACACGGCACATGGAAGGCTCTGAAATGTCCCGCAGCTAAGAAACACCTTTAACTGCACGTGCCTGGCGTTTGACCACAGATCTGATTTTCTTAGGCTTAGTCGCACTGCTCGGGACATGCTGCTGGGCTTCCTTAGCTGAGGCTCAGAGAAGGCCAGTGACTTGCTAGAGGCCACACGGCAAGTGAGAGGGCAGAGGAATCCGGATGTCTCGCCTCCTTACCTTGGAAGCTTCCACCTTCCCGTTCCTGACCTGTCCAGCAGCAGTGGGGAGCTGCAGGAGGACCCCTGCCCTCCAGGGGTGGGGCTTGGCCTCAGGGGCAGGGCCTGTGACTTCTCTCTGATGTCTGGCACAGCGGCCACCTGGTTCCACAGACCAGGAAGCTGAGGCTGGGGGTCACATAGCTGGCAAAGCGTGGTGCTGGAACTTGTGCAATCGGGATCACCCCAGAGCCTTTCTTCCCACTCCCCTAACCCCCACCCCCTGATACCACAGGAGTGGAGACATGTGGATGGGAAGCCTGCCCTGGAGGTCTAATTCCAGGGTTATACAGGGACGCAGAGAAAGCTCTCGGAACAAAATATTCGGCGCACGGCAATGGCGACTCTGTCCAGATGACAGGGTCGTGACCCTCATTTCTTCTTTATATTGTCTGTATTTTAAGGTTTTCTACAGTAAACACATATTACTTTTCTATCAGGAAAAATGAACCCAGTAACAAATGCTGTGACAAAGGAGCTGAGAGGAGATTTGCTTCCCTCGGGGCATCGGCTAAAAGATGGGCTTTGGGGCAGAAACTTAGGAAAAGACGAAGCACAAAACCAACAGGTGAACAGCGAGGAGGCAGAAGTTGGCCCAGGGCCTCTGGGCCGCAGTGACGGCCATTCTTGCCGGCATTGCCAGGCCAGGGTCTTGGCTCAGGGAGGGTTCTACCTGTGGGGCAGGCTGCTGTGGCTGCCAAGGGGCCCTGGGTGCCCGGGAGGGCCCAGTCCAACCTGAGCTCTGTGTCCCTGCTCTTCCAGGCCTGCCTTTCCCTGGGCCTCCCAGAGGCTGAGCATCTCAGGAAAACTGAGGCTGCCCCGAGGCACTCCCCTAGCTGAGACCCCAGTCCTGGAATGACCAAGTTCAGTCCCAGACATTGCACTGGGCAGAACCCTGAAGGACAGGTGGGAAGAAACCAGCCTCTGTCCTTCCCTGCATCGGAACTTCTGACCCCTTTGTCCCTTCTCTCCTGACACCCAGTCAGCTCAGACCCAGATGGTTCAGGGCTCCAGAAGCCCTGCTTGCCACCTCACCAAAGGTGATCCCTTCCCCTGCTTGTCTCAAAACTGACAAATACCTTGGTTCATTTTTTAACCCCAGTCCAAGGTGACCGTCCCTTGACAGGCTCTGGGACAGGGAGGAGGAGGAACTCACACCACAAACACCGCATGGCCTCATCTACCTTCCTGGGCCCCTGTGGGAGGGGCACAGGGTTACCCCCTCTGTCACGCAGAGTGAGCCAGAGCAGGAGTCACTCATTCAGACCTCAGCAAATGAGAGGAAGCAGGCGCCAGGGGGTCCCTCTCTGCCCCCACTCCCACCCCCCTCATTCTCAAGCCTTTGTTGGCTCCTCTTGTGTCTGGCCAGGCTGCAGAGGCCCTGTGGGCAGGCAGAGGAGGGCTGACTTGGCTCTGAGGGCAATGGGGAGCTACTGAAGGGTATTGAGCAGAGGGTACAAACAGTCGCAACCAGTCACTTTGGACGCCTTGTGGAGAAGGTCCTGGAGATGCTAGGCTGGTGACCGGCAGGTGGGGCAGCTGATCTTTAAGAAGTGGCCTGGGAGAAGGTCTTCTTGAAGGGCAAGAGTTGACATTTACTGAGTACTTATTGGCCAGGTGCTGTGTTAAGTCAGTCCTTACAATAATTTATTATTTTAAAGGGAGAGAAACAGGGAGAGGATTATTTTTATTTGTTTGGTTTTTTTTTTAGAGGTTTTTGCTATAGGGCGCGTGCGCTTACCAGAAAGACAGAGACAGAGAGACAGAAAGTGAGAAATTGTCCCCCAAGGGGGATGGCCACACCACAATCCCTTCTCCTCTATTCTCCTCTCGGGATCTTGGGCACGCAGGAACACATGCCTGGTGTGAGTTTAAGCCACCAGGTCCGGGACTCGTACCATGGTCCACTACATGGGAATCCAGCAACATAGCCATTACGCTAACTGCTGATCCCACCTTCCCCCATCTTCAAAGCCAGCCATGGCTGCCTGAGTATTACTCACATCACATCACTCTGACGCTGACTCTTTGTCTCCTTCAACCTTTAAGGACCCCTGTGATTAAATTGGGCCCACCTGAATAATCTAGGACGGTCTCCCTGTTTTAAAGTCAGCTAATTGCAATCTTAATTTACCATTGCCATGTGATATCATATGTTCACAGGTTCTGGAGAATAGGATGCGGCTCTCTTTTAGTGAGGATTCGTTGTTCTGCCTACCACAAACTTGGAGTGTGTGATAGATGCAATAGCAGTTTGAGACATGGCTCCAGTCCGGGACCCCCGAGAGGATTGATTTTTGACAATGTCTCCCCACATCAAGATCCTCCTGTCCCAGCCCCCCAGTTAGCTGACACACGTCACCATGCCTGACCTGCTTAGGTTGGACGGTCACAGCAACATTTTGAGGTAGGTCCCTGTGGACTCATTTATAGATGACTCTGCTGAGGTACAGAGAGGTTAGGCATAAGTCCTGAGGTTGCACAGTAAGCAGTGGAAGCTGAGCCTCCTTTGGGCACCTCGAGTCTATCTATAATGCCTGTGGGACCTCCGGGACTAACATCTAGAGGCCCTCTGGGCACATAGTTCTGCTGGGAGGGCTGGAGCCGGCTCCCTGCTCATGCCCTCCTGGGGCTTGAGCTGTTCCTGCTTCCCATCCTGCCCTTCCTAGAGAAGACTCAGCTCTAACAGCCTCTCCTCCAGGAAGCCCTCCCTGACTCCAGGCTGGTCAGGCCTAGCTGCTCCCCACAGCTGCAGTACTTTCTCTACCAAAGCTTGCAGTGCACTGCCCAGAGTGGGGCCATCCCGGGACAGACTGCCTCCCCTCTGAGAGCCCACCAGGACAGAGCCAGCTCTGCCTCCTCCTGTGAGCCTGTGACCAGCATGGTGAGAGTGCTCACATTCTGAGGCTGTCCCTGAGGGGGTGAAGGCGGGAGCCGGCTGCAGGGGGGATGGTGGCAGGTGTTGGCTAACTGGTGACAAGGTGGCACAGGGAGCCCTGCCTTCTGGGGAGACACAAGGGGATGAGGCTGACTGAGCTCTCCACGTCTGTTTTATTTATTTAAATTAATTAATTCATGATTTTTTCCAATTTTGCTATAGGATGTATGTGCTCCCTGGAGAGGGAGAGAGAGAGAAAATCGCCCCTGGGGAGACTGGCCACACTCCAGTCCCTTCTCCTCTGTTCTTCCCGGAACTTTGGGCGTGCACATGTGCCCAGCATCATCCTCAGGCTGCTGGGTCCACACTCGCACCATGCAGTCAGCCATTTAGGATCCAGCCCCCAACCTCCACACCATCTGCTGGCCCTCCACGTGTTTTATTAAAGCTTACTTTTCAATCCTGTGGCTGGGCAGTGAGCGCTGACCACTGACCTGTGGGTCTTTCCGTGGCCGCTTGTCTCCCTGGTGTGTAACCCCCAGCCCCCCACCCCATGTCTTGCCTAAGGCCCAGCCTCCTGCTCTTCCAGCTCTCCCAACAACTTTCCCAGAGGAGCGGCTTCAGGTCTGGAGGGCCCCTTGTGGTGGATGTATCTGCTAGGTATCCCCTGGCCCTCCCAGGGGGCTCCCACTGGCGTTCCCCAACAACTCTGTCCCCCCTCAGAGTGTGCATGCCCAGTCCCTCGGACAGTGCTGAGCAGTGGTCGGCCTGTGGGCACCCACGGTGGGCTCCTCGGCTCAAGTCTAGAATCCACCACTTGCTGGCTGGGGACCCCGGGGCCATTACTTGTAACTGCTCAATCTCAGCTTCCTTTTTTTTTTTTTAAAGAGGTTTTTGCCATAGGGGGCGTACACTCGCCAGAAAGACAGAGACAGAAAGCGAGAAATCGCCCCCCAGGGGGGATGGCCCTGCTGCAATCCCTTCTCCTCCATTCTCTTCTCGGGATCTTGGGCATGCACACACACAGGCGCCCGGCGTGAGTTTAAGCCACTGGGTCTGGGACTCAAACTGCGGTTGACCACCTGGGAATCCAGTGACTCAGCCATTACGCCAACTGCTGGTCCCCAACTTCCACTTCGTGATCTGTAAATTGGGATGATGACACAAAGGTCCTAGCCACCCCTAGGACCACTGTGAAGATGGGATTATGCACAAACCACACCACTCAGCAAGCACTCCAGACCCACTGGCCATCACTCCCAGGTCTCTGCCAGCCTGTTATCTTAGTGCAGCCAGGTGCTACCTTCCTTAACCAGTTAACTCTGCGACAAGGGAAAGGGAACATCCCAAACCTGTTGGTTAATCAGGGTGTGTTGGGGGAGGGGCCGTCCTAAGGCCTGGGATGATGAGATCCAATTCAATTTGTTCATAAAATTTTCCCTTGGGGAGCCAGCAGATGGCATAGCAGTTATATCGCTGGACACCCACATGGCTGACTTTAGTTAAAGTCCTGAACCCAGTGGCTTGAAAATCACGTGTGTGCATGTGTGTCCGAGATCCCAGGAAGAGAATGGATTGCACCATGGCCATCCCCCCTAGGGGTAGTTCTCACTTTCCCTCTGTCTCTAAGGCAAAAACCTCTAACATTTTTGTTTTTTTCCCCTGGGTCTAGCTGGTAGTGGGGTGGTTAAGGTGACTGGATCCCACATGGCTGCCAGTGTGGTTCGGGTCCCGGACATAGCGGCTTGAGAAACATGCCAGGTGTGACCAAAATCCCAAAAGATCAGAGAAGGGACTGCGGCATAGCCATCCCCTCTGGGGATGCTTTCTCACTTTCCCTCTCTGTGTCTCTCTGGTGAGTGCATGTACTAGATAGCAAATTAGAAAACAAAAAATTTTTAGGGATCAGCAGTTAGCGTGATGGCTGTGTCGCTGGACTCCCATGTAGTCGACCGCGGTTCGAGTCCTGGACGCAGTGGCTTAAACTCATGTGGGGCACGTGTGTGTGCGTGCCCAAGATCCCAAGAGAATGGAGGAGAAGGGATCGTGGCGTGGCCATCCCCCCTGGGGGGGGGTGATTTCTTGCTTTCTGTCTCTCTGTCTCTCTCTGTCTGTCTGGTGAGCGCACACGCCCTATACATAAACCTCTCAAAAAAAAAAAAAAAAAAGAAAACAGAAAACGTTTCTTCCTTTCTTTCTCTCCCACAGGCTCTTCCTGCCCTGGAGGATCCAAGTTCCAGATCCCAGGAGGCTCTTTCTGCTTCACTGACAACGTGCAGGATGCATCCCAGAGTTCTACAATGCCGGAGCCCTGTTTCCTCTGCCTGGAGAGACCCTAGGCAGAGGCCTATCAGGCCTCAGTGCAGGCTCCGGCGGGGGGGGGTCTGGCTCTTTCCTGCCATTGAAAGTTTTCTGAGATCAGAATTCATCTAAGTTCCTTTCTGCTGCTTTCAGACAACTGGCCCCTTCCAGGAGCGAGGCAGTCACGTGGCTGCATTCTGTGAAAAGCAGTCTGGCCACATGGGCACATCTGGGACTGGTCACCCCAGAATTAACCACCCACTGTTTAAGGTGGTTACAGTACAATCATGGGGAGACCCTCAAATCATTCTTCTAGTCCTCTGCAGGCCGCCTGGGGGTAGCTTCACTTATCCTCCATTCACACCGCCCGTTCACCCATCCACTCATGCATCCAGTAACGCACCCCACCCCCTCCTCTCCCTAGCCCCTCCCCTCCTGCTTAGCCACTCTTCTATCCATCCACCCACCAGTCCCATCTATCTGGGCACTCACTGGTCCATCCGTCTAGCCATCCTTCCCACACCTTCATCTACCTCTCCATTCAGCCGTCCTTCTGACGGCCCGTTTAGTCATTCGTTCTGTCCACACACCCCTCTCTCCATCAATCCACTGGCCCATCCACTCAATTCATCTCCTCACCCCTACCCCGTTTGCCCCCTTGTCCCACCACCCATCCCTCTCCATTCATCCACTCATCCACCCACACCCCCCACCCATCTCTCCATCCACCCATCCATCCAGGCACTAGTGGGACCAGTTATTGACACAGCCTGGATCCACAGTGGCAGGGGAGGGGAGTCGTGCCGCGCTCTCCCTCTGGCCCTCAGCCTCAGTCTCAGTTCCTCTCGACAGACAGCTGGGCCTCTCATGCCACCAAGCACACCACCGAGGGCACCTGCGAGCTCTTCCTGTTCCCTGGAGATGTTTAGGACGCCCTCCCTGAGTGCCCTGCCCCGCGCTGGCGGAGCTGCCACCTCCCCTGGGTTGCAGTCGCGGTAGACGGGCGGCCCAGGGCCCAGGGTGCAGGGCAGCTCACCATAGCCATGCTCATACTCTCGGTGCCGGTGCCGTCGCCGGTGATGGTGGTGGTGGTGGTGACGGTGGCGGCGGTGGCGGTGGCGCTGGAGCCGGGCCTGCCTGTCCCTGCGGATGCTGCCCACGATGATGGTGATGCAGGAGAGGATGATGACCACACCGATGACGGCACTGGCCACGAGCACAGGGGACACGAGCAGGTGGCTGTGCTCTGTGCTCTCTGAGAACGTGGGGTAGAAGTAGCTGGTGTGGTTGTACCGTGCTACTGTGGACAGAGAGAGAGGATGCTAAGCTGTGGCCCGGGTCGGACATGCACCTTCCTCTACCCCTGCAGCCCTGGGAGTTATTTAGCCTTAAGAAGATGGGGGGCAGTCTGGGGTCAGGCCCACGGATTCCATCCTGGCTGTTCCTGCCAGGCAGGAGGGGAGCAGTGCCTTGCCCCGCTGCCTGCACGGGCCTCTGATAGGAGGAGCTGATTTTCTCTCCTCTTTTTTGAAGCTTCTGCCCCAGGAGCTCAACTAACTCACAGACAGAAAAGGGAGAAGCTCAGAGAGGGCAATGGACTTGCCTAAGGTCGCAGAGCAAATTAGTGGCAGAGCTGTCTTGAACCCAGATGCTCAGTGCTACACAAGGACGCTACTGCACCAGGACATGATGTTGGAAGGTCAGTGTGGCTTTACCGATGTCTAGGGTAAGCATGGCGTGGAAGACAGATTACTCCTAGGTCCTGTTCTGAAAGACGTTCCCTTGCCTGTCCTCCCCAAGCCTGGGTCTGAGCCCCTGCTTTGTGTCTGTTGCATAGCACCTGTGGGTTCCGGGGTGTGTGTTTGACTGCTCTCTGTGTCCCCAAGCTCAGCAGTGGGATTGGCACACCAGAGGTGCTTAGTGCACGCATGGAGTGAGCGGCTCCAGACTTGACACTAACTGAGAAAACGACAGAGGCCTTGAACTACCTCCAGGGGAATGAAACCTGTCTTGGGTGGCAATCGAGCCAAGTTTGGGTAGCTGTAGGAGGGATCTTTTTTCCCCAGGTCAGGGCCTAGACCTCTGCCAATCAGAGGCTGGACATTCCACTGTGACCACTCCTCCCTTCCCAGAACGTCCTCCAAAGCCTCACCCACATTCATCCCATGGCAAGGACAGATGGGTGCAGCACAGTCTCAGGACTTTAGCTGGGGTTCAGATCCTACCCTGGGGCAGTTCTGGCTCATGCTGGTAGCTCCTGCACCCTACTGACCTTCATTGGGAGGGGCTGGGCTGGCCTAGAGGCCCTGTTATCTGGGCTAGCACGTCATCCCTGCCTGAGAGCCACAGCCTTGCTTCCTGAAGTTCACTGTGAAACACTACCCTGGAGGGGCATACACTGGAACAAGGAGCTCCCCATGGCTTTGGCTGGGCATGCGTGCTACTGACTGGTATGAGATGTTGGGATAAATGGGTTCCTGAGATTCGAGAGCCAAACACAGGACATAGCTTTCAGGGTGTCTGCTCTGCACATGTTCATTGCCAAGAGTTTATTCATTCTTGTGTTTATCCAGCTCTTCCCATTTTACAGATGAGGACACTGAAGGCTAACAATATTAAGTGGCTCACTTGCAGTTGTACAGCCAGTATATGATGAAGCCAGACCCTCTAAACCACAAGGACCTGGATAAGAAGCGCCCTAATTTATTACAATAGTAGCACAAACAGAGGAGAAAAGAATAGAGTTTTATTGAAATAACTGGTGTAACTTAATTTTCATAGGAATGAAATGAGTGAAAATATGAAGTAGAATGTGATAAGATATATATGGTGAGCTATATGGCTACTATTAAGAACAAAACGGGGAACCAGCAGTTAGCGTAATGGCTATGTCGCTGGACTCCCACGTAGTCGACCGCGGTTCGTGTCCTGGACCCGGTGGCTTAAAACTCATGCCGGGCGCGTGTGTGTGCGTGCCTAAGATCCCGAGAGGAGAATGGAGGAGAAGGGAGTGCGGCGTGACCATCCCCCCTGGGGGGTGATTTCTCGCTTTCTGTCTCTATGTCTCTCTCTGTCTGTCTGGTGAGCGCAAGCGCCCTACAGTGAAAATCTCTAAAAAAAAAAAAAAAAAAAAGAACAAAACGAAAAATTGTGAAAAAAATCACTGAAGAATTAAAATATTATTCTAGAAGATATTCACTTAATGCACAAAGGAGAAATAGAGAAACAAAAAGGACCCAGATATATGCAAGACAAAAAGTAAAATGGCAGATATAAGTCTATGACATCAATAATAACATTACACATGACTTGATTAAATAATCTAATTAAAAGGCAGAGACTGTCAGACTGGTACAAGCAAGGGACAACTGTCTGTAGAACTCTCGCTTGGGAACCCAATGTACAAATAGGTTGAAAACAAGAGAGTAGAAAGAGATACACCATGCAACTATTAATAGCAATCATAAGAAAGCTGGAGTAGCCATAGTAATCTCAGGAAAAAATAGACTAAAAATGTCATTGGCCATATGAAAAGCCGAAGGACCTAAAATACCAAAATAAACTCAAAAGAAGAACAAAGTTGAAGGACTTACATTACTCGATTTCAAAACTCACTGCACAGCTAACAGTGATCACGACAGGGTGGTCCTGGCATAGGGATACAGACATGGAGATAAATGGGCTGGAAGGGAACTCAGAAATAGACCCTCTCATTTATAGTTGATTGATATTCAATAGGGTGTCAGGACAATCAAATGCGGTGTAGTCTTTTCAGCAGATGGGGCTGGGCATCATGCTGCATGAGACCCTGTGGAGGGTGCTTTGTCTCTCCCTGTCTTTGTCTTTCACTATCATAAAAAATAAACGAACTTAAAATTTTTGTTGGATGACAAACTGCATTGACTAAACTGCAATAGGTTTAGCTGGTTCTGTGTCCATTTCCCCATTAGGCTATAATTTGGTTTCTGGACCTGGCGGCTTGCTTTCTCTCTTTTCCTCTTTCTCTATGTCTCTCTCTGGCCCCTCCCCTTGCTTTTTTAAAGAGAGATTTTTGCTATAGGGCATGTGTGCTTGCCAGAGACACAGAGAGATAGAAAGTGAGAAATCCCCCCCCCAGGGGGTATGGCCACACTGCAATCCCCTCTCTTCCAGTCTCCTCTTGGGATTTTGGGCACGCATGCACATGCACCTAGTGTGAATTTTAAGCTGCCAGGTCGAGGACTTGAACCACAGTCGGCCATGTGAGAGTCTAGCGGTATAACCAGTATGCCATCTGATGGCTCCCTCTCTGGTCAAAATAAAAGATAATAATAATAAATAAAAAAATTATAAATAATTCTTTTTTTAAAAAAAGGAATTTGATTTCTTCTTCATTAAAAAAATATTCCAGAGGGTGTGTCTATTTGCTGAAGAAGAGAGAGAGCAAGTGAGACAGTGAGAAAGCAACCTCTGTGGAAGATGGTCACATCACAATCACTTCTCCTTCATTTTTCCTTTCTTTGAGGATTTCGGCATGCACACACACGCACCAACCATGTTTTTTCAAGCCACTGGGTCCCAATCTTGAACCATGCAGTTGGTCATATGAGATGCAGCCACCTCAATTACTGCACTATTGGAATGACCACTTCTCCATTTATAAATTGACTGTGAGAGTTGGAGTTTTGGAGGAGGTCCCAACTTTGCTTTCTTGACCTCTGTCTCCTTTTTCTCATGGTATGTGTGTTGAGGGGGGAGGGTCTTAGACAGAGTCTCACATAGTCTGTTCCTCCTGCCTCAGCCTCCTGAGTAGCTGGGACCACAGTGTGTGTGCCATCACACCAGCCATTTGGAGATGGATCAGGAGTCAAACCTGGGTCTCTCCTGTGTCCTCAGCCTGCCAGGCAGGGTGTCATGTTTCTGTGGCCGGGCCCAGTTTCTTGTTTTTATTCCCTTGGCTGTCAGTTACCGCGAGCTAATGTTTTCCATTTTTCTTCAAGACTCACAGATGAAAGGTGGCAAAGCGAGGCTCCCCTCAAGCTCTTTCTCCCACACAAAAGAGATCAGTTTAAATGACCTGGTCTGATCTCAATGTAGGAGAAATCTGGTCCTTGGCTAGTGAACCCATAGCGCGCCTACCATTGTTTCCCAAGATGATGACAATGGCAGACATTACTAATCAACCATGGCTCTGTTTCCTGTTTGGCCCAGAAGGTAGCCTCAGCATCCTTCTTGACACAGAACTCCACGCAGCAACTACTGCCTTGAGCTGATCACGAAATGGAGCCTTGGGCCACCACTCATCTCATGTGACCACAGTAAACTGTGCCACCACTCCTGAGCCAATGGCCACTCTCTCTCCCTATCATGCACCTCTCACCTTACGCAGGACTTGGGACACCTATTAGGGAGACACCAGTGTTCCTTGGGGAGGACAGAAGTGTGTGGGAGCCACGCTGCTGTGAAATAGTGGGCTGGGTCCGCGAATCTTGCCTCCAGCAGGGCTTTGGGATGTCCTACTCTGACCCCATAGGCTGCATTGGTTTGGGTCACACTGGTCTCCCCGTGATCCAAGACAGATGTGCTACTGGAGAGCTGCCATGGCAGGGCTGCGGGTGCCCAGATTGCGAACCTATGGCTGGATGCGTGTGAGGACATGTGCGTGCACGACGGCACCAGGAGCCTATCTCTGAGGTCACCTTGAAGACGCCCCGCCCTCCACCTGCCTCAGCAACAGATGTGAGCCCCACCCACCCCTGGTAGCACCAAGCTCGTTGCCATCTGGGAGGGAGATGGCATCACCAGGGCCTGCAGAATGAGCCTATTGGCGCAGGTGTTGCTGCAGAGACAGTTGGGAGATTAATCTCCCCGTCACCGCAGTCGGAGAGGTACCTGCATTAAATTACAGGGGAAACTCTTCCAATTTCCAAGCCCAGGGCCCATTTTATCAACAAGATAAACATGGCTGCAGAGAAATGACATGATGACAGTTCCCCTTCCCACCCACCCCCTGTCTCCCTGTCCCTTTGCGCCAGCTGCGGCGAGGACAGAGGATGAAACTCGCTTTGCCTGTCCTGGATTTTCTTCCCAAGCAGCGTCTACAGATGTGCCCACGATCAGCAGAAATTACATCTCAAAATACAGGCTAGGATCGCCCCTGACATGACACCTTCCTCCCACACCCTAGCATGAGTAGCTTGGCCTCTCCTGAGCACCAACTATGTGCCCCATGCCATGGTCAGTGCTTTTCATGTGCTGCACTATTTCACATAATCCTCATTACAGCTTCTGAGGATCCCCAGTTAACAGGTAAGGAAACAG